GGTGAAAGCATGACCAAAAATTATTAAAAAAAAAAAAAAAAAAAAATATGCTCGATTTTTTAAAAATTCTTGTTGCTTTGTGTTATCGTTTTTTTTTTTTTTTTTTTTTTTTTTTTTTTTTTTTTTTTTTTTTTTTATCATTTATTATTACTTTGTTAGTTTAATATTATATGTGGCACTACAATTTCTACTGAAAGGTTAAAGGTTAGCAATGAAAAGCAAAATATTGTTGGTTTACACGTCTTTGCTTCGCCGTTATAGCTGCTGATAGTGTATGACATTTCTCATGTAAATCCTTCGTTACTCATAACAGTAATCTTTCATTATTTTGAAGATTAGGGGGCTTAGGATGGGTGATAGTATTGTGTTTAGCAGAGCTTAGGGGTGACTTTTTACTGAGGATATTGAAACAATGATACATAAGCTTTTCTCGTACTATAATAAGTATATAAAAGAGATATTGTATAAGGTTTTCGCTCAATTTCTATCCGTATTTCTCATAAGATTGTTTCAATTTGCCAAAAGACTATGCATAACATTGAATACCAAATCTTCACCGCCCATGAGAAAGATTTAAGGAAAATATTTACATTTTTGGTACAAATTAATTAGTTATTGACAAGATTAATCCACTCTCTCTCTCTCTCTCTCTGAAGGGATTTTTCCTTGTCATTTGGGCGGGAGGATGTAGAATCTCAGAAAAGTCAATTTAACGCCCTTCTGTCTTATTATCCAATATAATTTGCTAATCATTAGCATTTTTAGAGATGAAAAATTATGATAATGATTATGTCATATTAGCATTTAAATTCTTATCTTTAAAATAATATCAAAGAGATAGCTAAAGGATGTTGAAATTGAGCAAGTGCTTATGCAATTTTCATTTCAATGTCAGGGGAAAACATATGTACGCTCTTCTATAAATTAGCATTTCAGGACACAGGGCACTCAAAAAAAATTATAGAATACATAGTTAACAGGAAATTTCCATATTAAACTCCTTATGTTTGATTCTCTCCTAATATATTCTATTATGTCTAATATTGAAGCGCTTTGCAAAATCATGGAATAAATCTTCCTGGCTTATAGAAATCTTCCAAAATAAATATAAATTCACTCTTATTTTGTCATGAAACAAATTAATTTGAATCCAAAAAACAACAAAATACAAAATTTTATGCAAAAAAAAAACAAAACAAAACAAAACAAAAAACAAAAAAAAAACCCATTTTCTCCAGATTTGGGGTATCCTATGACCTAAAAGTTCCGAGAGAAAAAAATCTTAATTGTAGTTTTCATTCGGGAACTTATCTTATCTTAGCAAGACATATATATTATTTTTAATTTTCCAGCAAATTTGAAGCCATTTTTTTAATTATAAGGTTTGGAAAATAAATTGCATAAATAATGTACAACCTTTTGTTTACTAGTACATTAAGAAATAAGAATGTACACAAATCACTTTATAAGTGCATACAGCAAATACCAAGAGGTTGGGTAGAGATTTATAGAAATTCTGCTAAATATTTTAAATTCATCTGCCTCATTATCAATATAATAGATATTCATTTTAATGAATTATTTATTTTTTGTTCTTTTGGTCAGCAACACAGAACTAGAAGCTTTTTTGTTATTTAAATTGAAAATTCATCTTATTGCATCACTTAATATTTATAAGCAAAGTCATTCAAAAATATTTTGTGATATTGACTTGCTATCAATGAAAATGAGAAAATTTCGTCTAAGGTTATCAAAACATGTTTATGAATAACACTACAGTGAATGTTTTGGGTCAATCTGTACAGTATAATTAATATGAGAAATGATATTACAAAAAATTTGTTTCTGAATTTATCCACCAGTCTGACTGTTATATCAAGAAATGTGCCTCTGCGCTAAGCAGTCCTGTGTGGACGTTTTTGACACGCTGGGAAAAAATAGGAAAGTTGCTCAAGTTTTTATCTTGTCACTGCAACGAAGAGCACAGCAGACAGGGGGATGCGGCTATGTCAATAGTGCCAGAGGCTCTAATTGACCATGTGGGGACAGTTCGCAAGGCGACCCGTCGATAGATGTGTATAATTACCTGAGCGTAAGGCAAGTACCTTTCATACGTCAATGAACCACTCGCGGAGTAATACATCACTTTTTTCTGAAGTTTCAACACGGGTGGTATTAAGGTAACGACTTGCGCGTTGTCATTCTAATTGAGAAGCTAGTGAACTGCTTTTTTGATACCCTTTTTATCCCATTAGTAAGTGTTATTTATAAACAACATTTTAAAAAGCCTTACACCTAGCCTTGGGTTCAATTTTTGTATTCTTAAAAAAAAGTTTTTGTCAAAGGCAAATAAAAGACACGTCTTAAGCGTTAAATAGACTGAATTGTGTTGGAAGTCATTTGATACATCAACATATTGTCTGACAAATCAAGACCCAGACAGACCATCTGAATTGAGATTTATTCTGCTTCATTTGGAACGAATTGACCCCCCTCACTTCTTGCAAAACCTAATAACACGCTATCGATAATAATCCGTTCATGCAACTGAGAAAAATTTCTGGACAATAAACAGTAACAAGGTATTTCAAATAGTCTTTATGAAAATGTTCTTTCAGATGTACCTTTTTAAATGACGGGTACTTGTAAGATCGAGGTGGGGATGTTTACCTAAAAAAGAATGAATAAGTAAGTAGATTTGTCCAGCATTAGGAATCGTTTTAACTTTAGGCATATTCAAACTAAGGTCTTTTAATTGAAAGACGAAAGCTGTGTCGTAAATTCCGTACCTGAATTTTATAAAATATGATTTATCTTTGAGTATTCAATTTGAAGTTTGCTTTATTTGACGGGTACGCAAATCGGTTTCAACAGTTTTGTCGAAAATGTCATATGTCACCGTTGGTAATTCGAGTTGTGTAGTGGACGAATGTAATAGCGGTATTTCAACAAACTGCGAGAAATCATCAAATTTTTACCACTTGCTACCCCAAACTCTCTTGGTTTTGGCAAGTCTTCCAGATCGCCCGTTTTGCGACAACCAAATGACAGTTCGTTATTCCTCCCCACATGGCGCAGTAGGACTCAGGTATATTGTTTCCGGTAGGACCGGGGCGTTCTCTTAAAGGAAAACATTGGGTGTCCTATCACCTCCAATTAGAACAAATTAAGCGCTGAATGAACACTCTGTAAAGTTCTCAAAGCCTGAGTAGAGATTGAATTTGCTATGTATGGGTCGAGCAAATATGCCGGTGGTCTCCTGTTTCAATAACAAATTGAGTAATGTCTATCATATTTTGAAAAGAACTTACGACTATATTGGCAATTCGATGATTCAGTGTAGCCTGTTCATGTTGCAAAAGAAACCTTCAATGTTTGCTTGATGTTTTTGTTGTTTGTTTGATTGTTTTTGGTTTTTATTATTATCATTTAATTACTTATTTATTTTATTTTATCTATTTTAAATTTAATAAATGTTGAATAACTCTATCTTTGATGTGAGACGTAACTCGCCAGAAATAGCAGTATACCTATAGTTGTTATTAATAACAAGTAATACAATTAATATTACTCATAACAGCTTTCTCAAAATAAACATCTTTCTGGAACAGGTCGGTTTATGAGAAAAATCTTCTTTGGCTATTTTAAACTTAATCCCAATCTTGGCGCTTCTTTCTTTCATTGAGAGGTTTAGTCTATGACGTTTTTCCTCTATGTTACTGGTGACTATCAATGACGCAAAGATAGAATTATGCCCAGCCTATAAATGCAATAGATTTCACAAATAGCTATACATTGATGTTTGTTATAAATAAACATGTGTGAATTGGTGTACATAATAACGCGTGGAAAATAGTAAATCAACTAGGGAAAAAAATTAGGAGAAAATTAGGAGAACTTGAAACAATAAAAAAAAGTCCTTCTCTGATTCGAAACTTATTTTTTTTAAACTGATATATAAAATTGCTAAACAGGGTGAAATAACTACTCTCTGACTTTCATTCAGAAATTAAACACTGATAAATAGTGTTAATGGCTTTCAATATCAGGTTTTTATACTTTAAAAAGTACCGAACAATATTTTCAAATTCTGTGCAATTCCTAATTTTGTAGAGTAGTTCATCAGAGTCTATATCTAAGTACTAGTAGATTAAGAATAAATACTAATACGTACTGAATCTTGATTATACTGGAGCATGGAGAAGTTTATATTTTTGTGACCTTGTTGCAATCTTTCCTCTGTAGATATATTCAATATCTAGAATTCTTATAGAAGATCTCAAAAAAAATAAAAAAATAAAATAAAATAAAAAATGAATAAATAAATCACAGAAGACACGCATATTGCGCATTTTTTTTTTCAAATTGGATAAGGTGTGTAATTCTCAATAAATTGTGAAGATGATTCCCTTCAACTTTGATAATTTTAAAAAAACACTTTTGATTTTTATATATGTTATAAATAGATCTGAAACCGAATACGCTTTATCTGGTTCTCTACAAACTGTAGCATTACACCAGATTACTTTTAAATTTAATCATTTTTAGCATAAGAAGATTAAAAGGCAAAAAGACCCCCCCCCCCCAAAAAAAGCGTTCTCTTAAGCAAAGGAAACAAGAAGAAAATATGTACTTACAATAATATTTAAAAGAGAAATGCAATATCCAAAGTATTCTAAATTTATTTCATTTTCGGAAGAGAGATTAAGTAACTGTATGGGAGACCTCGATGTGTACGGCAGAATTTTTCATTGAGTTATAGATTTTTCGATTGTGCTAATTACTCCGTGGCTACGCCACACGGCGCTGCAATTGGTCAATTTCTCGCTGTCGTCTTTCCTACAATCGTACTACTCATAAATATTCATACTGCGGGAACCAATAGTGTGGTACAAAGTTTGTACTGGAGAAAATAATTCTGAAATTGTGTGTATAAAGTTTGTAAGCAACATATTAATGAACCAAAGGCGAATTTGTCACACGAGAATCTGTACGACTTCTAAAGACAGAACGATATGTGTAGCACTAATCCAGGTGCAATGATGTTGCCTTATGGCCTCAAAGTACCTGTATCAAATCCCTACCTACCCGGCTCACAAATGGCGCTAGAGCTTCAGCGAGCTCAACAATTCTACGACTACAGTACTAGGATGCATTATGGAATTCGAGGCTATCCCAGTGCCCTTGGATTACCTTCTTATCAGGCCCACCCTTCTGTCGATCAGTATCTTCAGCATTATTTATACAAAGATCCTAGAATTAGGTACTTACATGAAGAACCTAAGCCCAATCATAGTTACATTGGGCTCATTGCAATGGCAATTCTAAGCTCGCGAGACAAAAAATTGGTGCTTTCTGATATTTATCAGTGGATTTTGGACAACTATCCATATTTCCGTACCCGAGGTCCCGGATGGCGAAATAGCATCCGTCATAACCTCTCTCTGAATGATTGCTTCATAAAGTCTGGACGGAGTGCCAATGGAAAAGGACATTACTGGGCTATACATCCCGCAAACGTGGACGACTTCCAAAAAGGCGATTTTCGTCGCAGACGTGCGCAGCGCAGAGTTCGGCGACACATGGGACTAGCTGTACCTGATGATGATGAAAGCCCCGTGTCCTCTCCGTCAGAGACTAACTGGCCAGATGAGGATGCCGACCTACACATAACAAACAAGTGTTTTACTGAAAAAATTCCAAACGCAGAAGACGAATGCTTGGACATTACAAACGACACAGAAAATTCTACGCCGTCTCTGGAAGAAAATGGAAGCCCCGTCGACAGAAAAACGGAGCAGGAAACTTTGAATGTAAAAGTGATCGAATCTGAGAGACTTTCTCCCAAGAAAAGGAGAAATTTTGATATGGACAGTTTATTGGCCCCAGATGAAGAAATAAAGCGACAGAAGATGGCAGATGAACAAGTAGCCTGTCTAAATCAGAAAGGTAGAGTAGATGAGGACGACACACCGTTAGATGTCCTAACAGAATCGAAGGACTCGCAGAAATACCAAAATACTGCAGAAAAGACTAATGAAAAGGAAAATGTGCTGGATTTATCCTCTCATAAAGAGGATTTGAATGAACGAAATTCTACACAAACAAATCCAGAAAAGGGTGCTTCTTTACATGAAAATAACGGACTTCTCTTCAACTCGAGTTTACGTGGATTTACTTCATTTAATCCACAGAGTAGCAGTGTTTTCCAGGGGTCTACAGAATCACTGAATTCCCTACAGCCGTATTTTCCCGCTTTTCCGGTTATGGGACTAAAAAATGGACTCCAGCACTCTTTCTTTCTGTCGAAAACGATTTCTCAAATTCAACAAAATCACATGAGTACACAGTTTTCATATCGTCTGCCGTCGGACAAGGGCAGCCGACTTCCTGATGTGGCTCTTAACAGACAAATGACAAATTGAACTGTATTATTGTGTGTGAATTAGTAGGGAAAAGCACTAATGTTACATTACAGGTGTGCATAAGGTATTGTAAATGTTAATGTCAAATTTCACACCCTGTTATTATTGTAATGCAAATCTGTTCCTTCTTGTTGCAACGTAAAGTGAAGGGAAATTGCTAGCTAAATTCTCATACATGTAAGTTTTGTGTACTCTTCTTTATGATTTTACCTGTCTTAAAAATGAAATTTACTTGTTATTTTGTTAATTGTTTAGACATTAAAGTGATAATCATTCATATTTTTGATCTTATTTCTAATTAAGAGTTTAGATTGATTTTCATTACATTCTTGGTTCTTGTGACTAAGTGTCTATCATAATGTATTTGTTATAAACATGTAAACCATAGAATGAGGTGTTTAAACCCGTAGAATCATTAACATCCAGTTTTAAATTAAAGCGATGAAAGGTAGAGATTTGGTCCTTTTGAAATGAGACGATTGTTTTTTGCTTAGATTCGTATATTTTGATTAAAATATATAATATTCTATCTCTATAGTTAATTTAAAATGTTCCAGTATTTCAAGTAAAAAATATATATTCTCTTTTAGAAAAGAAAAAGGACAATAATCTCCATTTTGAAATTTTAAGGCACTTTTAGCTAGTTTTATTTACCATGGTCTTTTTTTTAATGACGGCGGAGATTCGGCTACTTGGATTGATTTAATAAAATTTACCGTTGACTGAATCCGAAATAGATAATAAGCAATAGATATCAAACGAAATAAAAAAAATCATAAAATGACAATTATTTTCAAATCAATGTCTAAAAGAACTTACTGTCAGGTTAAAAGATACCAAGGCTTTTTTTTAATTTATCATTATTAACATTATCAAAATGTTTCATGTGTTAATTATTGAATTTATCGTGGGTTTGTAGACGGATAATATACATGTATGTTAACTAATTGTCAGCCTTAAAAATATCTAACAGTTAATTAATTTTTCATGACTAGCATTATCAAAATGCTACATGTGTTAATTATTGAATTAATCGTATGTTTATAGATGGATAGTTCAAATCATCTCAAATTACAAAAAAATCTCAAGGTATTTATCTAGTGCCTACTGCTGTAAAGAGCCCCTACATTCAACTATATACAGAAATCCTTCCATTTAGATTATGATTTGATCGTTTCAATAAAGAAATAAATGTATGGTCTATGATATGATAATCAATAGGACAATACAAGTACAGTGTAACCAGAATGAGATAGCAGCACCTGTGGTATTGTGATTAAGACGTAGTGTAGGTGAGTGTGCTCCTACTGAAAAAAAGGTTCTGTTTTGAGCAAAATCAAGACTTTATGTACATATATATGTATATATTTTACAGTGTTTCTTAACATAATAAGGAAGAAAAAAATTGAGACAGAATTAAGAAATATTAAAAAAAATTCTCGAACATCTGCAACCTTTGCATACAGACATCTTGGTAAGAGCCAAATTGGTTCAAGGTCTTTGTGAAAAATAAGGACTGGAAACAGATTTTCTGTCAATAAAAATCCTGGAATCTGTCACTCTTCAATACTTAGCCTAATTTTTTTTTTTTAAGAAACGTACAAGATTGTGTATTGTTTAAGTTGTATATAAATAATTTCAATGCGAATCTAAAAATAAAGTCACAAGGATTCAGCAACATAAAATCCAATTATTTATGTGTCTTTTCATTCTAAATCGCCAACATTTTGCATACATAATTCTTGTAATGAAAGTTTGTACCAAAACTGTTTTCTCTCTTTCATTTTCTGCCCCCCCCCCCTTAATTCCCTAATTCTCGCTTAAGGATAAGCGGGAATAAAGGGCCGGGGGCAGAAAATGAAAGAGAGAAAGAAAAGTTTTGGTACAAACTTTCGTTACAAGAAACAATTCTTTTGTGTATTTTCACTTCAAGGAGTCCAAGAAATATTTGAATCTTTATTTTTTAAAAAAAAAAAGGGGGGCAGGAACAGGGATATCAGAAGGAAATAATCAAAAATGACAAAAATCCAATTTTTTCTATATATCATTCAATCGGTTTTGCTATTATTAACGACACAATTTTTTTTTTCACAACACAGTAAAACATATAACATTATTGAATTATGCGCAATTTGAACCAAAAAAAAAAAAAAGAAAAAAGAAAAAGAAAAGATTTCTGATTTAGGAAATGTTTTTGTTGATAGTGATAGTACTTTCCTAGCTCTATATGTGAACAGTCATATATTTGATAGATTTCGCATCTGTGCAATCATTTACCATATTTCATCAGCATACATAACATTATTTAGTGAAACTTGAAAATGTCCTTTAAACCACTCACCACTGTCTAACTTTACTGATAATTCTTTTATTGTGGTCGAGGATTATAATCTCACGATCATAAACTATCAAGCATTTGTCATCGATGTACAATTCAAATGTAATGTAGGCGGAGTTAGAAGTCGCCCCCCTGTCAACCGAAGCTTCCACTGGAAACTGACATCGTGTTATTAACTTACAAAGTCAAGTCTAAAGTACTCGGTCCTGCTGTGAGAGAAATATACGATTATAATGAGACAATTGGGGGACAAAGAAATGTGGACAGGTCCCTAATGTGTGAGGCGGAGCGGCAAGCCTTGGTCACTCTTATTTTGTCAATAATGTGGCTTCTGGAGGGTCCAGTTTGAGAGTTTTTATTGACAGATGGAGAAATGATAGGCTGTTACGGGACCTGGCTTGTTTTTTATTGTGCATGATACAGAAGAAATAGGGAGGTGTGGGTAAGAACAGACGAGAATTTCTTCTTTTGTTATGAATACTTGTCTGTCTGATGCGGGGAGGGTGTGTAATTATCTCCCTGATCATGAACACGGACTTCCCTTCCCTTACTTTTTTTAATTGGTAAGCCATTCTACTCTCAGAAATACAAAGTTACAATATAGTTTTTACATACATGTAATCTATTCTTGTAAAAATTGTAGATTTGTATGAGAAATCAACGGTTAACAATTTAACATGTTTGTTATAAAAGAATCCTATCTATATGTTAGATTACAGTCTATACCAGTAACTAAAGAAAATCCGGGTCAGTGCAATTCATCTCCTACCTTATTATTTTAATATGTTTTCAATAATGGACTATGTACACTACATACATGTATATTGCCTGCTGCATTGCTACACATCTTTTGTCCGTGCTGGGATTAAATTACGGGCAACCACAGGGGAGGCCTGCTGCATGGAGATGTGAAGACTAATGGCAAAAAGGCGTATACATTATCTGAGCGTCCGTATAATGTGTACGTATATATCAGAAAAAGGATGATAATCTTTAAATTATACATTTTTTTTTTAAAATGGAGACACTCTAAATATTGGGCATTTTGGAGCCTGTGTTTATTTCGTCTACATGCGATTAAATTGTCTAAATTATCAAGTGTAAGGTTTTTTTCAGTATAGGTAGTAGAAACCTAATATTTAGATACAAGTTTGAGATGCTTTGTATCTTAAAGATACAAATGAATATCAAAATCATATCTAGAGATCAAAATATGATGACGCCATTTTCTTTTTCTGTTAATTTTTTCTTCATTGAATTTTCTTCAAACTCAAAAATATCTGAAATCTATGTTTTATTATTATTATTATTATTTTTTATTTTGAAATATTTTAATTTCTCTATCATTTCAAATATTCTGTTCGATATTCTTAAAATTTGAATAAGATTTTTTTCTTTTAAGAGATCTTAATGTGTAGTCTGTTTACGTATGAACTTCACAAACTATGTATGTTCCATTTTTACATCAGTGTACACAAATATATTAATTACAATATATTTAATTAAGTTTTAATAGTAAATAGGTCGACTTAATGAATAGTGCCACAAACATTTGTAAAATTTTAATTTACAAGTTTCAAGCACATTCTAATGACTAATGTCAGATTTCACATTCTTCTTCCTGAGATGCTATATTTGAAATAGGGGCAAAAATGTGAGGGTAGATTTCTTTCACATCATACATTGTTAGAGGCTTTGTTTCTAAGTATTTTAAATTAAAAAAAATATGTGAGGAATAATTTGGCGTATCTGTTTGTACTATATTATTCTGTTAACTGTATAAACTTGTAAAAATTTCTAGCAATATCCTTAAAACCTTCAATCTGTCACTATTCAATCAATGAATGTGTCTCATCTTCCACACAATTCATTTGACTCATTCTACAAATTCTTTTATGTATTTCAGTTATCTTTGCCATGCTCATATTGCCAGTAAACCATGTAAATACCAGTTCCCTACTGGACCCAGAGCTTTGTTAATTTTTAGTCCTTCAAAATCAGCTAAATCTGATTTGATGAATGTCATTTCTTAAGGACGAAAATAACACCCTGACTACAAATAATCTATATTATAATATGGAGATCCCGGGATTTCCTTAAAATACCCAATAAAATATACATGTATGTGTTTAAGGATAAATAACACAAATTATTCGTGCTGGATTAATATATATTTTTTGACTGATTCTGGATAGAAATGACATGACATTTATAATACATCCCTAAAACATAAAGAAATTGCAGATTTTCTTTGATGCTGAAAAATGGCCTAGTGTCATTTTCCTTGTCAATCTATGAAAAAAAAAGAAATGCACGTTTTATTACTTTATAAAAAAATCTTACAAAATTTCCACACTTTCTCTGGCAAACATCATTCAAGTTACCTATAATATGAACACTAATCTGTAAGATATATTGCTGATTTCGGGGGGGGGGGGGGTAAGTTGTTTGTGCTATTTATCTTTGCATGGCCGAATGGAGGAAATTCGGAATGAACTCTGTACATACGTCAGGCAAATTTTCTTGTGCAATATTCCCAGAATTCCTTCGCTACCAGGGGTTCCATGCGAAATTATTACAAAACATACGAAAGACCAAGGATAAGTGTTCCTCACAAAGAGATACGTTTACTTTTATTTCTTTGCAGAGAGCTTAAAAGAAACAAAACACAATTGCATCTACTCTGCGACGTATTTCATTTAATTGCACAAGAATTGTAGTCTCGTTCAATCAGACGTTCGGCTGTCTCCGTAAATTCCGACGTCATGTGACGTCACAATCTAGACAATGGGCCGGCTTCATTTGTCAGAGATCGGCGTACGCCAAATTGCGCCGGTCATATGA